GCCTTACAGGTGCAGCGAATGTGGGAAAACCTTTAGACGAAACTATAACCTCCATCAACATAGGAAAGTTCACACTGGAGAAAAGCTATATGAGTGTCGTGACTGTGGGAAGTCTTTCATCCAGAACTCTAGCCTCACTGAACACCAGAGATGTCACACTGGAGAAAAGCCATATGAGTGCAGTGTGTGTGGGAAATGCTTTGGACAACGCTGGAGTCTTACTCAACACCGTCAAGTTCATTCAGGAAAAAATCCTTTTGAGTGTAGTGAATGTGGGAAATCTTTTAACCGCAAATCCCAACTTATCAGACACAAGACTGTTCACACTGGAGAAAAGCCGTATGCATGTTGTGTCCGTGGAGATTCTTTTAGCCTAAGTTCTGCCCTCATTCAACACCAGAAAGTTCACACTGGAGAAAAGCCATATGAGTGTAGTGATTGTGGAAAGTCCTTCACTTGTAGCTCTAAGCTCATTGAGCACCACAGAGGTCACACGGGTGAAAGGCCTTACGAGTGCAGGAAATGTGGGCAATCTTTTAGGCGCAAAGATTACCTCCTGAACCATGAGAGAGTTCACTCTGGAGAAAAGCCTTATGAATGCAGTGAATGTGGTAAAACCTTTGGAAGAAAGTATAACCTCTTCCAACATAGGAAAGTTCACACAGGAGAAAAGCCATATGGCTGTAGTGACTGCGGGAAGTCATTCAGCCTAAAAGGTAGCCTCACTGAACACCAGAGGTGTCACACTGGAGAAAAGCCATATGAGTGCAGTGAATGTGGAAAGTTCTTCACTGAAAGCACTGCTCTCAGTAAACACCACAGAGTTCACACTGGAGAAAAGCCACATGAGTGTAGAGATTGTGGGAAGTCCTTCAGGCGAATCTCTATTCTCACAGAGCACCGGAGAGTTCACACTGGAGAAAAGCCATATGTGTGTAGTGACTGTGGGAAGTCCTTCAGACAGAGTTCTACCTTGACACGGCACCGGAGAGTTCATACCGGAGAGAAACCTTATGAGTGTAGTGCATGTGGGAAGTCTACAGAGTTCACAGTAGTTAAAAGCCTTATGAGTGAATGGGGGAACCATTTTGGACAATTTTTTTGGTTAATCCTCACCCAAGGATATTTTTTCCATTGCTTTTCAAAGAGGGTGGAAGGCGAGGAGGGAGGGAGAGAGAGAAACATCAGTGTGGAAGGGAAACATCGACTGGTTGCCTCCTGCACATACTCCCACTGGATTGGTGGTGGGGATGAAACCCACGGCTCTTTAATATGCAGACTGATGATCTAATCACTGAGCAACACTGTATGAGACTGGACAATTTTCTAAATTATGGTTTTACAAAGGAAGTAGAAAGACACATTGATTTATTGTCCACTTGTTTATGCATTCATTATTTGACCCCTTTATGTGCCCAGATTGAAGATCAAAATCACAACTTTGGTGTATAAAATAACGTTTTTATCAACTGAACGATGCAGTCAGGACTGGACAAATCTTTTTTTCTCTTAATCCTCACCTAAGCATATTTTTTCCATTAAAATAAAAATTTAAAGAAAAAAAAATATATGTTATTGATTTCAGAGAGGCAGAAACATCAATAATGAGAGAGAATCATTGATTGGCTGTGTCCTGCATGCCCCACATGGAATTGAGCCCATAACCCGGGCATGTGCCCCAACTTGGAATCAAACCATGACCTCCTGGTTCATAGGTCAACGATCAACCACTGAGCCCCGCCAGCCAGGCTCCATTGATTTTTTCAGAGTGTGTGGAAGGGATGGGTAGAGACTGAGAGAAACATCCATGTGAGACGTATGCATGAATTGGCTGCCTCCTGCATGCACCCTAACCAGGGCCTGCAACTGAGATATGTGCCCTTGACCGGAAATGAACCTGACACCCTCCAGTCCACGGGCTAGACAATCTTTAACCTCATTTGATACAGGAAAGCTCACTCTGGAGAAATGCCTTATCAGCACAGTGACTGTGGGCAGATTCTTTAAGACAAAGTTCCAACCTTATTCAACAGCAGAGAGTTTGTTCTGGATAAAGGCATTATGTATGTGGTGGATGAGGGAAATCCTTTAGCCCTTCCTCTAGCCCAGTGGTTCTCAACCTTCCTAATGCCGCGACCCTTTAATACAGTTCCTCATGTTGTGGTGACCCCCAATTTCATTGTTACAAATTGAACATAGTGAAAGCATAGTGATTAATCACAAAAACAATATGGAATTATATATGTGTTTCCCGATGATCTTAGGCGACCCCTGTGAAAGGGTCATTCGACCCCCAAAGGGGTCGTGACCCACAGGTTGAGAACCGCTGGTCTAGGATTAGCATCGCTGTTCTGTTATCTGTACCCGTAGCAATGCTTTCCTTCCACTGATGCAGCTGTTCCCCTTCCCTTTCTCATAAATGCCCATTACCTCTACCTCCCAATGGGAACACTATTTTGGCTTCTGCCTGAATCAGTGCTTCCCAAGTAGCTATTATGGATCTCAAATAAATGCTTGTACCTGGCTTTGAAAGGCCTGAACCAGAATCAAACCCACAACCTTTTGGCAGAGGGGAGGTTGCTCCAACTAACTGAGCCACCAGCCAAGGCCAAAAGGCAACTAGTTTTTGGGTTAACAAGAGGAAGCACTCCAGTTAGTCCCTTGCTTCAGAGAGCCCCAACCTCCTGCCCCCTCCTTCCACTCCACAGCCCTGTCCGGAGACAATTCTCTTACCCCTGACCCAACTGAATCTCACAAAACTGCCTGAAAGCTCCCCTCTACACATCGTTAAAAAAACAAGGAAATCGGCCCTGCCAGAGTGGCTCAGTGGTTGAGCCTCAACCTATGAACCAGGAGGTCAAGGTTTGATTCTGGGTCAGGGCACAGACCCGGGCTGCAGGCTGGATCCCAGTGTGGGTCGTGCAGGAGGCAGCCAGTCAATGATTCTCTCTCATCATTGATGTTTCTATCTCCCTCTCCCTCTTTTCCTCTCTGAAATCAATTTTAAAAGTATATAAAAAACTCACTTTCTGCCCTGGCCGGTTTGGCTTGGTGGATAGAGCACTGGCCTGCAGACTGAAGGGTCCCAGGTTCGATTCCACTCAAGGGCACATGCTCAGGTTGTTGGTTCCATCCCCAGTGGGGGGCGTGCAGGAGGCAGCCAATGATGATTCTCATCATTGATGTTTCTATCTCCCTCTTCCTTCCTCTCTGAAATCAATAAAAATATCTTAAAAAAACAAAACTCACTTTCTAAAATAGTGGCCTCCTCTTGACCGGAATCGAACCCGGGACCCTTGAGTCCGCAGGCCCACTCTCTATCCACTGAGCCAAACCGGTTCGGCAATAAAATATATTTTAAAAAAATAATAAAATAGTGGCCTCCTAACCAAAAACCAATCCGGAGCGGGCCCTGGCATTTCACGTGGCACTCTTGTGTCCTGGAGCTTTGGGGACTATCTCAGGGAATATATCTCGAAATATTTCTTCCATCCCTAGAGCTCACTCCTCAAAGATCTGGGCCTCCAGGCTCCATTTCCCAAAGCTCTCCTGGGTACCAGGGCGCCAGCTCCAGGCTGCAGCCCTGCAGGGACTACATTACCCAGAGGCCTCCGCGCTGGGGGCGCGGAACACGCCTGGGCGGACAGACTACATTACCCAGAGCCCTTCGCGCCGCACGCTGGGAGTGCGGGACATGTCTGGGCGGGCGGACTACATTACCCAGAGGCCTCCGCGCTGGGCGCTGCAGACGCGGAACATGCCTGGGCTGGCA